GGAGGAGGAGGAGGAGGAGGAGGAGGAGGAGGAGGAAAAGAAAAGAAGAAGGAGAAGGAGAAGGAGAAGGAGAAGAAAGAGAGAGGAAGCCAGAGAGGCAGAGAGAGAGAAAGAGAAGAGAGAAGAGGGGAGGGAGGGAGGGAGGGAGGGAAAGAGAAGAGAGGGAGAGAAACAGAGAAAAGAGAGAAAAGAGAGAAAGAGAAAAGAGTAAGGGAGGGAGGGAAAGAAAGAAAGAAAGGAAAGAAAGAAATGATATAGTAGAGCATAAATATAATGTTCCCTGTTGTTGTTTTTTTAATCCAAGTTAACAGGTGGAAATGTTGTATGGGGCAGCTTTTCTTCCTATTTTCTTCTTCTTTTTGAAAAGTGAACCTTTGCAGACAACCTTTGATAAACAAGGGTCCTGCTTTTCTCCTTTGGTTCTTTAAGCCCATCTGTAGGCATAGCAGTGGTTTTGTTGTTTGTCTGTTTTCTTTTGTTTTGGAGAGAGAAAAGAAAAGAAAGGCAGGTTTTGCTGCCCACATCAATGACTAAAGGAGAGAGAGAGAGAGAGAGAGAGAGAGAGAGAGAGAGAGAGAGAGAGAAGGGCAGATGCTGGCTTCTTTTCCCAACAGCCCTTCCATAACTTCCTCCCAGAGGAAGTATTTAGCACATTCTTCAAAGTTTCGGGAAGTCACTTCTCTTGCAGGGGGAATAGAATTTGCATCTTGGATCTCCTCCCTGGGAAGGAGGAACCTCTTATTCGGGATTTCTGGAAGCAGAGATGAAAATGGGATGGGACCATTCTCTGCAGATTTAAGGAGGACCACGGCATCCTTGGCCCAAAACGTCGGGAGAAAGAGACTTGCCTCAAGGCCATCTCCCTGTTTGGCCCATTGTGATTCTTCCAGCCTAAAAAAATAAGTTTGTTTTACAACTTCATGATTTCCCTTATCCTTCTGCTTAGAAAACCCACAATCATTTAGGAATTGGGTTTCATCAGGTTTATTTACCCCTACCCCTACCCCTCCTCCTTCTTCTTCTTTCTTCTCCTCCTCTTTCTCCACCTCCTTCTCCTCTGCCTCTCCTCGTCCTCCTCCTTCTCCTCCTTCTTTTTCTCTTTCTCTTTCTCCTCATCTATCTCCTCCTCCCTCTCCTCTCCTCCTCCTCCTTTTTCTCTTTCTCCTCCTCATCTATCTCCTCCTTCTTCCTCTCCTCTTCTCTCCTCCTTTTACTTTTTCTCTTTCTCCTCCTCCTTCTCTTCCACCTCCTTCTCATGTATCTCTCCTCCTTGTCCTCCTCCTTCTCCCACTCCTCATCCCTCTCCTCTTTTCTCTTTCTCATTCTCATTTATCTCCTCCTTCTCCCTCTCTTCTCTCCTCTTCCTTTTTCTCTTCCTCCTCTTTTCTTCCTCCTTCTCATGTATCTCTCCTCCTCCTCCCTCTCCCCCTTCTTTTTGTCTTTCTCCTTCTTCTTATCTATCTCCTCCTCCCCCCACATTTCTCTCCATTGCTCTACATTAGATGGAAGAAGAAGGGGAAGGGGTTGGTGGATGGACAGACGGATGGACGGATAGATAGATATTATCCCTAGGAAAGCATGTTGAAGAAAAGTCTAGGAATTGATTGTTGCCCTCAATTCTCTCCAGTTCAGCCAGAAACCTTGTATTTTTACACCACAAATTCTTCCTAAGCATGCTTGGTCTCTCCCCACACCCTCCTATTTTTATGCATTACATTTGTTTTTGCTTTTTTTTTTTCCCCTTTCCATTCGGAGCAGTGGTCAAGGACGTTAAGAAAGGAGCACTTGTGAAACTCAGATCATAACCTCCCACGTTTATATCTTGTCTGAACGAAACCTCTTGTGTGCTGCCAAAAGAGCCCTTGAGTAGGGGGAATGTTCCTTGAACTCTTTATTCCTCTCTTTTACTCAGGTTGGTGTTTTCTTTTCCAGATTCACCCTCTATGCTGTAGACACCCGTGGGAGGCACTCGGAACTGAGCACCATCACGCTGAGAACGGCTTGTCCACTGGTGGACGACACCAAAGCAGAAGGTAAAACGCTTGTTCTCATGACAAGGTTCAAAAAGGGCTCCCAACTGTGTCTTCATTTTGCCTTAATTTCTGGAGTTTCTCATGTCGCCATGCTGACATATTTCTGGGACGTAGTCTAGAGCAGGGGTCGCCAACCTTTTGGATATCAGGGACCACTAAACATAATTTTAAATCCTGCGGACCACTAATATGTATTTTGACTGACAGTGGCTTGCTGATGTTTTCCCAGGGTCTCTGCAGAAAGCAGCAGAGACCCTGGGAAAATCCCAAAAAAAAGTCTGCAGGAAAATTCCCCACCCCATTTTCCTCCCGATCGATCATTCTTTATTTGGGATCGCAGGATACCATCTCCAGCTTTGTTGTCACGGGGAGAGAGAGACTTTTGGCTTCATGCAAGAAAAGCAGCAGAAGCAGCAGAAGTCTTTCTTTCTCTCCCCCAAACTCCGCCAGAAATGAGTCTTTGCCAGCGCAACCTCTTGGAGCAGGAGGGCTTGCAGGGCCCCAAAGACTCATTTCTGATGGAGTTTGGGGGAGAGAAAGAAAGACTTTTGCTGCTTTCCTTGCGTGCAGCCAAAAGCAGAAGAAAAAAGAAGTGGAAAGGAGCAACCCAGTGGCCAGGCAAGGCACGTGGGGTGAGTGGGGCAAGTTCCCCTCTATGTTAAGCTCTGCAACTCTGAAGCTATGTTGAAGCTCTGAGTCTGTCTATTGAAGATGAAACTAGCTTGCTTGCTTGCTGAAGGCTGGAGCTCTGCTCTGAACTTGCAACATGTTTCTGTTTGAGTTTGCTCCATGTTGGAGAAACCTACAACTGGTTTGTAAAATCTACTTATGTTTATAAAGATGTTAAATGAAGCATCAGCCATCTGTGTTTATTTTTCTGGCACTGAATTATCGCTGCAAAACTCTCAGTAAAGGGAATGGTGTTGTTTTTTTTTTTTAAAGAAAACTCTGATCAAAGGTCCCTTCCACCTCTGTTCTGATTCTCATTAGTTTCCATCCATTGCTTCTCATTCTGTTCTCAGGTGCTTTGGAGACTAGGAGAACCATAGAAAGAAAATTTGATCAGGGTGTGATGTTCTACTCCATGATGCCTGCCCAGCATTTTTCTCTCTGCTTGTTTTCCAGAGATAGCAGATAAGATCTACAACTTGTACAATGGCTACACCAGTGGGAAGGAGCAACAGACAGCCTACAACACCCTTATGGAAGTCTCAGCTTCCATGCTTTCCCGAGTCCAGCATCACTACAACTCCCATTATGAGAAATTTGGGGACTTTGTCTGGCGTAGCGAGGATGAGCTCGGCCCCAGGTAATTCTTTTCCCCAAGTCTGGATTCCTGCTCTTTTCTTTTCTGTGATCAGGACTAGCTAAAAGGCCACCAAGGTAAGTGAGCTTCTGATCTTTTCATCCCTCACAAAGGATTGGAAATTCAAACTCCCTTGGGAGGTTTTAGAGAACCCTTCCTGCCTGAACTTGGTTGTCTTCTTGTAGATGTTCCATTACCCAACTAAGAAACATCTTCAATGCACTGACGACATTGCCTAGATGGGTAATGAAACGCCTGCAAGAAACTGACAAAACTCAGAGCACCAATCACCCCACAGTCCTCCTCCTCCTCTTCTCATCTACTCCACTAAATTCTCCACTACATTCCCCTTTAGGTGATGTTACCTAGTTGGATAATGAAATGCCTGCAAAAACTCAGAGCAACAATCACCCCATACTCGTTGTCGTCGTCGTCGTCGTCCTCCTCCTCCTCCTTGTGATATGTTGTAATTTGTTTTTACAGTTCTGAGAGATCAAGTTCTTTTTCCCACAAGGCAACTGGACTTTCTTGTTTGTTTTTTCCTTGAAAATGTTTCACTTCTCATCCAAGAAGCTTCTTCAGTTAGTTAGTTAGAACTAACTAACTAACTAGTTACTAACTAGTTACTAACTAACTAACTAATTACTAATTAGTTACTAACTAACTAACTCTCATCCAATAAGCTTCTTCAGTTAGTTAGTTAGTTAGTTAGAACTAACTAACTAACTAACTAACTAACTGAAGTAGCTTATTGGATGAGAGTTAGTTAGTTAGTTAGAACTAACTAACTGACAAGAAGCAAAATGTCTTCAAAGAAACTCCAGTTGCCTCTTGGGAAAAAAAAAAGCACCTTTGGGTCACTCCTTCGGCTGGATACCAACCTTGCAAAGTCCGTTCTCGCCACCAGCTACCTAATTCTAAATTTTATTCATTTGGCTTTGACTCGGGCAATGTGAGGGACTGGATCGTGACTTGATCCACGGGTGGGTTTATCTATTCCTCGCAAACTGGGAAGCCCTAGAGCAGTGATGGCTAACCTTTTCAGCTTGGTGTGTCGAAAATCGGGAAAAAGTGTAGCCTTCCTTGGGTCGTGTGTCACTTCAAGAAATATCAATAATTTGGTTTATGACGGACTGGGCTGGGGTGATCACACAGGGCTGTGAAACTCGTCTCCCTGGTCTCAGGGCTGCAGGTGCAGGATGTGGGGATCGGAAGGCCACCTTACAGGGCTGTGAACCTCATGGATCTCCTTTCCTCCTGTAGCGTTCCTGAGGTAATGAAACTGACAAACCTCAGTTTATGGCGGTTAAAACTGGTTCTCTGCTGCAAAGATCTCGCGGCAGCGGTGACACCACGCCTCCGCGCAACAAGCAGGGAGCAGGGATTGGAGCAGAGCACAGGCAGCCTCTAAATGTGCAGGTTTTCCCCACACCAACAGGCGTGTCAGTCAAAGTGCCTCGGCGTGTCACGAGTGACAGGCGTGTCATAGGTTAGCCATCACTGCCCTAGAGCCTGGAGTCTTAACTCTCCCTCCAATCATCACATGGGCCGGTTGCCTCCCAACGGACAAGGTGGAAGAGAGGTGGCCTTGCGTGGGAGGAAGCGGTTAGGAGTTGGCTGGCTGGGTAACTCCCTCTTATGACCTTCCTTCCAACCGACCTGCCTTTTTTTTTTTTAAACAACTTCATTAACCGTCAGTCCTTTTTCCAAATTTTTCCCATTTTCTGGAGTGGAGTGGGTAGGAGTAAGGTCAGGGTCAGTAGTCCTGGCCAATTTCATCTCCAGATTTGAACCTCCTCCATAGGGAGACCTTGGAAAGGACACAGCTGCTAATTTATGACATCCAACTGGCTACCCTTCGCATTTATCTTCTGCCCTGCCCTCTCCCCTATTTTCCCCCAAGCTTCCTCTTCCCAGCTTTTCCTCCCCTGTTTCCCCCCTTACCTCAGGGGAAAACGTCAGCCAAAGATAAGTCTACCCTTTAGACATGACTTCATTAACCTTTTCACATAAGTGACTCACTTCGGCAGCTTGGGCTAAATATCTCGCCATCGTCTGTTTTTGGCCGAAAGGGGATTTGTCGTTAGGAAAGTTTTGTTTCCCTCCGCCTATACCTTCCCTACAGATTTATTCTCACTTGTAAGAGGCTAATTTTGCTGCTGCTTCTCCCAGCCAGCTGGCTGAGGCCTAGTTCCCATGTGCCACACCCAGCATTTCTAGAGGGAGATGGGGGAAAAAGGCTGGTTCAAAGAGCTATGTTGGGTGAGATGGCTCATCGTTCAAAAATACGTCCGGTTGTGTTGAAATCCAGTTGGACAGAAGAATTCAAAGGCCACGACTTTCAACTCATTTGAATTCTACTGTATTTTCACCCAACTAGCAGAATAATAGAATAATAGCGTTGGAAGGGACCTTGGAGGTCTTCTAGTCCAGCCCCCTGCTCAAGCAGGAAACCCTATAATATTTCAGACAAACGGCTGTCCAGTCTCTTCTTAAAAGCCTTCAGTGATGGAGCAGCTGCAACCTCTGGAGGCAAGTTATTTCATTGGTTAATTGCTTTCGCCGTCGGGAAATTTCTCCTTAATTCCAGGTTGCGTCTCTCCTTGGTTAGTTTCCACCCATTGCTTCTTGTCCTGCCTTCAGGTGCTTTGGAGAATAGCTTGACTCCCTCTTCTTTGTGGCAGCCACTCAAAGATTGGAAGACTGGTATCATGTCACCCCTAGTCCTTCTTTTTTCTAGATTAGACATACCCAATTCCTACAATTCTTCATGTGTTTTAATCTCCAGGACCTTAAACGTCTTAATATCCTCCATTGGTATGTTTTACTTATTTATGTCCTAATGGGAAAATTAGAAAGAGCAAAAAGTTGATGGCTGTATGATGGGAATGAAGAGGGATTCAGTGCAGCTGTTCCAAAGCTCCAGTAATTCTAAATGAGGGTCCTTGGTGCTCTGTAAGCTGGGTGGTTTTCTTGCAGGTGTTTTATGCACTGATTTTACCTAGTTGGGTCATGAAACATTTGCAAGAAAACCACAAAGCTCAGACAGCATCAAGGATTCCAAAGTCTTTTTTTTCCCCTCTCCTTCTCCTTCCCCTTCTCCTCCTCTTTCAAAATCCCACTCTCTTCTAGCATTGATGATGTTAGCTAGAAACATTTACAAGAAAACCACCAAGCTCAGAGAGCATCAAGGACCTCACAGTCTTCTTCTTCTTCTTCTTCTTCTTCTTCTTCTTCTTCTTCTTCTTC